CACACCCCACCCCTCAAAAAGGAAGAAAAACTAAAGCCGACAGATGAAAATTAAACTGCCAGGTCTACACTGCTGACATGTCTACTTTATAACAGCACGATTAAATCATGCTCGGGAGAGTGCAATTCAGAAGGCAGGAAAGCTTATACCTCGTCTTGGGAATGACTCCACAGAGCACCCTTGAGGGGGAAAGAGCCTCCAGACAAGCAAGGGTAAGTCATCAGGAAAGCCCGTTAGTGTCCAGAAGCTCATCTTCTCTTTCTGGCGAGTGTTCCTGGGTTGTGTGTGATACACGTGCCCCTGTGCACATGTGCGTGCCTGCTTGGGGCCCTCATCTGTGAGCCGCATCCGTGCTGAGCGGTCAGGAGGGGCTGGGAGGCAATGTGCACCGTGGGCGCGGGGCCAGGCTTCTGGGCGTTCACCTTGCCCCGTGTCGTGCAGCGAGTCTGCCCGGTTCTCTGCTCCTCTGGGAGGCACACTTCTGGGATGCGGACAAGGCCAGAGAGTACCTGACAGAGGCATAGATGGCTCCTTCCCGGGCAGCTCCGCGGTGGGAACTGTACCAACAGGCTGATGACAGTAACAGTGCCAGCAGGGCGGCAGCCGAGCTGGGCACCTGACGCTGAGACAGCCCGAACGCTCCAGAAGGAAACAGGAGCAATTCCAGTCGTGAGCATGTGGGGCTGTGGTCTTTCTTTGAGGGCTTGGAATTTGTTTTTCCATCTCTAAATGTGGATGGATGCATGTTTAGAATGCAAAGTGCATTATTTTACTAAGAATGCATTCATTAGGAGGGCAATAGCAGGAAAATCGGTATCTGTCAGGAAAGCAAGGGCCACGAAGCCCTCCTTGTAGGTTTCCACGTCTTTCCAAGTGGGTCCTCGACCAAGGCAGGAGAGGTGCATCGACTGATGGATCGGGGCCCGAGGGAGGCTGGGTGAGGACGTGACCACTGGGTGCCACAGGGTGCTGGCGAGAGCACGTCACCAACTGGGGCGGCGGTGCCGCGTTTCTGGCTGGGTTGATGACGTGCCGATGGCTCTGGCCAGCATCTGGGTAAACCTCCTGGGAGCTCATCACATGAATCCCCGGGGCCTGGGGCGGGCCACCGTGCACCGGGACCCCCACTGGACGGACAGGAGGAGGTCTGCGGGTGCCGGAATCCACGATGTGGCGATGCTGAGTTAATTAGCTTCCCACGGCTTTCTAAAATCGGGTAGAAAGGCCCCACACATGCCAATCATTATCGTTATTATTTGAAAACTGCGTATCTGCCAGGAAGTGGCCCCAAGCGCACCCAACCCTGGTTCTGACGCTAATTACAGTGATTAGGCAGAGGAGAGGGCAATCGCTACCTGTTTCTGCTGTAGACAGATGCTGCGCTCATTAGTGGCCCAGGTCAGTGGTGGCCGCCGCCCGCTGCATCCCCTGCAGGCCGACGACGTGCTGCCAGGGGCCGGAGGGCAAATGCAGCAGCGCGGGTGCTGGGGCGCCATGGGCCGTGCTTCGTGGCAGGCAGCCTGTGCCGCGGGCGGCTGTGGAAGCGCACACAGCACCTACTGTGTTTCTGTTCTCTCCTTGCAGCTGGACCACGTGCACACCGCAGTTGTTCTTCCCTCCTTCCCCCTGTGCTGCGGGAGCCGAGGGTGGGGGCGCCTCCCGGCCCCCCTCTGAAATGGCAGCACCAGCGTGCGCACCAGGGAGGGCTCCCTCCTCAGGCCCTGCCCTGCCCACCGCCCTCCACCCAGCCACCGAGGGGGCCGGGAGGGTCCTGCGTCTCTTCCACCTTCCCGTTGCCACGGGAAGCCCGGAAGACTGACGGCCGCAGTGCCCGGTGCCAGCGCAAATGAGCCCCATCCATTTCCTGCCGCTGGCATATGGCATGTCATTGTCCTCGGTCACCGAGGCAGAAGTGATGCAATTTGTTGGCATGTCCTGCCCAGCACAGACCATCCACCCCACTGAGCCCCCAAGAAAACAGCAGAAGCCGTGAAAGGGCAGCCAGACTTCGCAGCCTCATCGCGCAGGCGCAGGGCCGGGCCGGGGGCAGCGGTGGCTTTGTGCCTGCGGGAATGGGTGTGTGTGTGTGTGTGGGGGGGCTCTGAGCCGCTCGCCCCTCTCTGTCGCCCCCTGCGCGTGTCCCGGTCCCTCCGTGTCCCTGTGTCAGTCCCTCCCTGTCGCCCGCCGTCCCAGTCTCTCTTCCCTTCTCCCTGTCACGGTCTCTAACCAGAAGCCAGACCTGAGTCACTGATACTTCAGGAAACCATCCCTGGGACGTCCTCTAAAAGACCTTAATTTCTACCACTTCTTTCTGTTTCTGCTTTCCATCCCTCCCAGCAAAACAGAATGCAACACAAACAAGCAAACAATGGGGACTGAATGCATCCTTAACGACAGGAAACAAAACCCAGCTGACAGGACTCCCGTCCAGAAAGGATGGGGGTCTGAACAAGGTCCGGGAGCTCGTTCATTAGAGAAGAAACAAGAAGGCGGATGCATCCGTATTGGGCCACGCACCTCGGCGGGGCCAGAACAACGCCACCGTGCAGGTTCTGGTCAGGTTCACACCCAGGAGGAGTGAAAGTTTTGCAGAACAAAACCATTTTAGTGTCTGAAGCCAATCTGAAAACAGGCAGAAGTGTGTTTTGCTCCATATGGTTTGAATTTTCACCACCGTGATAATAACATCCTGGAGTCCGAGGCTGATGCGATCTGTCCCATAATGGCTTTGAGCTGGACCTGCTGCCCCACATGCTGTAATGACAGATTATCCGGTTATATGTGGTTTTCTTACTGAGGCACATTTATGGGAGGGCCGACTCCCAGCTGACTCTGCCCCGTCGCTCCTGCAAATGAAGGCGAAGCCATGTATCAGCACAAGGATAAAATTAGTATTGTAAAAAGAGAGGCCACGCTAATGGGCTGAGCGGGCCCATGGGCCACTGCCTACCTACTTGATTTAGGGTGCTAACAGGACCTGTACCAGGCAGAATCATCTTTCTCTTTTCCATTATCGTTTACCTGGGAACAGGTTGTTTGAGAAGATTCTGTGATTCCTTCTAGCTCTGAAATCTCTTACTTTTATAATTCAGCTTCTCGTCTTCACCATTTGTTAATGAAGCGCTGAGGCAGTAACAGTCTGCCTGGTCAGCTGCCACCAAGCTGTCTGGAAAGACGGGGGCTTCTGCGTTGGCACTAAATGCCCGGCAGCTACGTCTGACCCCTGTAGGTACCTTACACTGCAAGCCCCTGCAGGCTGGGGCCACATCTCTCCTCCTCTATTACTGTCACAGTGACCAGAGCTGCGTGCCAGAGGTACTCGGTAGAGACATTCTGATGGACTTCGATATATTTACCTGCAGAGTTTAGAAGACAAGGTAAAGAAATTAATTTTTAGCTTGCAAGAGTGAGTGTAGGAAAACTTAAAACTTTTTTTTGCAATTTATATTCTAGGGAAAGTTAAAAATTTCCAGATTAGGAGACAAGTAAAAACTTCCCTCCATTATATGAAAGAGATTCCATTTCAGTGTTTACTTCTCACATTCTTATTTCAAAATGAGGGGAGCAGGTTGAAAAAGGGGGGTGGTAAATGCAGATGGACCACATTCACCACCTTAAGTTGTGGAGTGTAGTTAGGGATGGAGAAAGGAAAACGCAAATATTCACTGTGAACTCACTACATTTTCTGATGCGAGGAAGGCAACAGGCAACAGGCGGGGCGGAGGCCCCTGCCCTGGAGGAGGGGACCTGTAAGCAGAGGAGACATAGCTCTCGGGGGTTGGGTGAAAACGCTTCTCCACAGGTCCCCCATCAGCACAGCCCTTGCACACAGATAGGAGAAGTTCTCGAAGGCATGTGAGCTGGCTGTTGGGGGCCAGGGACCCCGGAGGGCTTTCCTCTCGCCTCACACATCCCAGGCTTGGGGCTGGAAAGCTGGCTACTCATAAAAGCCACAAATCCCAGAAATCCACAGAGGCTGTGGTCTGACGGAAGGGTGGGGGGGGGCAGCCAGGCAGGATGGAGCACCATCTGACCGTAAGTGCTCTGTGCCAGCAGATGCCACAGAAGCCCCTGCACCCTGGACCGCACCCTGACCAGGCCACGTCGAGGGCACCCCATTCCCACTGGTGTGGTCTCAGAAAAGTCAAGGGGCAGCAGAGACTCTGGTCCCCGTGGGCCCGGACCAAGCCCCTTGGCTGTGCAGAGGCTGTGTCCCTTGGAGATTGCGCGGAGCCAGGCAGAGGTGCCCCCCTGCTCACGGCCCAGCGGGGAGTCACCATTGCATACTTGGGGCCACTCTCCCAAGACCTCCTAGCTCTGCCTCGGTCACAGGGACCCACCTCTTGGTTGACTGGCCAGAGGGCGCTGGGCTGGCTGGCACTGTGCCTGCTGAGGCCCATCCCACCTAGTGTGAGCAGCCCAGGAAAGCCAGGGGACAGTAGGCTCAGTCAACCCAGAGTCCGCGACATCGGGAGCATGTCCAGGACTCGGACAGAAGTCAGTCCTCGTATGAGGCCTGTGAGCTTGCAAATGCACAGACACCCCATAGGACAGCCGTGCCAGCTTAGCTTCGACTGGCGAACCATCGGACAAACTGGCCAGTGGCCACACTGTGGGCGGCTGCTCAGCAGTGCCCAGGAACCAGCCCAGCCAAAGGGTCTCCAGGAACTGTGTGCCTGGAACAGGCCACCCAAGAGGTTCCATGCCCCTACACAATCCCACTCATGTGTGTCAGTCTACATTCATGTCATTCTTGAAATGACAGAAATACAGGGATGGAGAGAAGACTGGTGGGTACAGGTTGGGCTGGAAGGGTGGGTGGGGGAGGTGGAGCTGGGCCAGGAGGGACCCTGTGGGGATGGGTGCCCTGTGTCTGGGCTGTGTCAGTATCTTGGTTGCGGGATCCGGCTGCAGGTCAGTAAGAAGCCACCGTGGGGAAGCTGGGCAACGTGTGCACAGTCTCTCTGCACTTCTTCTTCTTTTCTATTATTATATTTTTATAGGCGAAAGCGCAAACACAGTCCGCCACCACCAGAAATGATGCAGCCGAGTTTCCCACGTTTGGGGAAAGCGCAGGGGTCAGCACATCCGGAGGGCAATGGATAAGCCTCGCCCTGGGAAAACCACCTTCGTGATCATGGCATTTCCCCTGCCAGGTAAACATCTGCGCTGTTTCTTAAAGTGGCTTGTGAACCTACCCTGTTCTGACGTGGGAAGTTCCAGGCCTTACTCGGCACGTGGAATGCTGCTGGGCACTCAGAAAGCACCAGTGGGGGTCCTCAGGTAGAAAGACCTGAAGGGTGAGGAGGCCGGGTCCCCGGGCTGGGAGAGCGGCCCCAGCATTTGGAAAGTAGGGTCACAAAGACTGCGGGTCCCAGGGAAAGATTTCCCTGGCAGGGGAAGCCTCCGGAGGGTTTGAAGCTGTGGAGGGACTTGTCTAGATTTACGTGTGAGTCAAGTTGATGCGGCATTGAAGAGGGCCAGGCTTGCAGCTACACGATTAACTAGCAGTTTACGCTCGCAGGCAATGGGTTGGACAGAGATGCACAGACCATGGGGGCAGAGATGGGGCGAGCAGGGTGGAAAGAGCGACCTCCAGGTTTGCGGGGTGAGCCTCCCAGAAGAGGGAAGCACCACATGTGTTTCCTGCATCCCCCGTTTCCTGCGTCGCTTTGACTTGATGTAAAACGATGCTGAGGACCCGAGTGAGTGTAGCTTTTGCTCCTGTTCACCTACATCGTTCCCAAAGCCCTCCAGCCATCTGTTCTTCGTTTGTGTCACAGTGTCTTCACCCTTAGGAGAGAATCCATCCAGCTCTAAACAGGATCGTCCACCATCATGGGGTTCGTCATCATTATACAGGCATATAAATGTGTATTTGAGATAGAGGGAGGTGTGCTCTTTGGAAGCATTCAGCTGCAGGCTTTCAGGGTCCGTGTCCTTCCCTGATCACCTGCTGCCCCAGCGAGACGTGGGCTGCCTGCGGGGAGGGCAACAGGACAGGCCGCCTCTGGGCAATGCAGGCCCATGGCCAGGGTCGTGCTGCAGGGCAGATGCATCTGGACACACGTCCACAGAGAAGCTTTTCCCTCCCGCACACCAAACAGTAGTGCCACTTCTTAGGGAGGGTGTGGGAGAGGCATGGGACTCGCAGCATGGGCCTCCGGCCCCCAGCCTGCACGCCGGCAGGGCTGCTCAGCCCCTGTTAGCAGTCGGCCACGCTGGCGGCCTGTCACTGCCCATCTGACGCTGCCCTTCGGTAGCCTGGGTCCCTCATGAGCCCTCCTGGGATGGGAAGCTCGGCCGGGAAGCCTGGGAGTCGGGTGATCTTGTGTCCGGCTTGCCCAGAGCAGTCCTGCCTTACACCTGTTCTGGTGAAGTTACTACTAGGACCCTGTTCACCTTCAGAAGTGCTGCAGTCGAGGTGATGACCTGTGTGGCTCTGACAGGACAGCTCCTGGCTTTGGGTGGAAAGCAGATGCAGCCAGCCCAGAGTGTCTGCGCACTGGGATGTGGGGAGAGGAGGGCCCCCAGCCTACCTGAGGGCCTCACGGTACCATATAGGGGAGCATTTCCAGGAACTGCAGAAGTTACCTATTGAAAGAATATATTCCTAACAATTTCTTTCTTTCCTTTAACCACATTTGCCATGGAAAGTCCAACAGCTCACCTAGAAAAATCCTGCTGCGTTGCTCACTGAACCACACGGTGAGGTAGTAAATCTTGATCGTGCCTAGTCGTGTATAGTAATACATCTAAACCATCCTTTTTTTGTTTTTAAAGGCATTTAATTCTATTTTTCCAGGTGGAATAGTAGGTGGTAGAGACAGAGCTGCTGGCCGTGCTGCCCGACCTCCGAGGACTCAGAGGTCACACCAAAGACAAGGAGGGGGCATCTCAGAGCAGGGGGGAAAGGGCGTGCTGGGAGAGTATTGGGAGCTGGGGTTCACAGAGCAGGTAAGACCCTGGTTGAACCCTAATATAAGCAGAAATTATCCACACAAAAGTAGGGAGGGGAGAGAGAAGGTGCTGGAAGAGCTCCGAGTTGAAGACGTGGTTCGGAGTTGAGGGCACTGCATGTTCTGGGACCCGGCGGGTGGGCAGGAGGAAAGCAGAGATGTGTCTGGAGATGTGACCGGACCCGGCCGGGGGCTGTCTGCCGCCCTGCAGCAGACACGCCTCCTCAGGTGCCCTTCTTGTTTGAGAGGCTGGCTTGTTTGTTCAAACGGCCCTTCCTGGGCCAGCAGCACTTTGCTGGAAATGGGCAGCTTCCCCTTGGTGCGGAAGAGCTTTGCCCGGCCCTGCGTAAACGCTTGGCTTCAGCCTGCAGCATGACCTCCTCACACAGCCTGTTTGCACCTTGAGGCTGTGCAGGGCCCCAGTTGTGCTAGATGCCCATCTGGAGATTGGGCACGTCCGGAACCCAGGGATGAGGGCAGGGCAGGTGCGTGACACTGAGGCTCAATGTGAGGCTCACAAAGCGAGCAGAGATGGTAAGAGTAGGTGAGAAATTGGATCTGGGGAGGAGGAGTTTCCCTTAGAACATGTGACCAGGCGTCTGGGTTGCAGGGTTTGAATCTTGAACCTTCTGTTTGCTAATACTTTGATCTTTGGGAAACTTGTTAATGTCCCTGTGCTCCATTTCTTCCACTCTATACGGGGACTGTACTAGTTGCTATCTCATATGGTCATCCAGTGTGCGTCTGGGGCATGTAGCACAGCGGGTAGATGTGGGCACGTGGAGTCTTCAATAAATGAGGGTGGATATTTCTGTTCTTTCTCCCAACCTGTTCCTTGATGTCTTGGGGGCTCCTCCCCCTGGGTACGTGTTTATCTCAGCTGCCCGCAGTTCCTTTCAGGCTACATCCTGACTGTGCCCCATCACGTTGACCACCCTTGCCAACAGCCTCAACTCTTGACAAGACTCCACCCACTGTGCCCACCCCAGAGCTTCTGGGGGCTTCTGAGAGCATCACCAGATGAGGACCGATGGGTCATTCCTGGCTGCCCTTAAAGTGAGGCGGCATCTTCCCAGTTTCTCTGCTCCGTTCTTGGCGCTCCTCGCATGTCCGAGCCAGTCGTCACCACCACCCCCTGCTGCAGACATGACCTGGTTTCTCACCCAGAGAACAGAAAGTACGGCGCCCAACTTCATAACTGTCAACTGACAGCGTCAGCGCCCCCTGCCCTCCACCGCCTTCCCTCCCTCTGGGAGAGGCACTCCGCGCCCACCTGGGGCCGGACCCCGGGAATGGGAGCCTGCTCCCCGCACCCATCCTCTCCCTGACTTTATCTTTCCATTTTCCTTTCTGCTGTTTTTTTCTCCCCACCATCAATTAAACACGAACAAATCTTCCTTATCTGAAAAATAAATAAATTGAACAGAACTTCCACTCTTGGTTATGAAAGAGTAAGAGAGACACAGTTTACCCTCCTGCTGAAAATACACAAAGAATGACAAAATATTTGGGAAAATGGCACCGAGGACACTGGACACTAAGCGACGGAGCCGGTAACTCCTTAAAGATGGGGGAGGTCTCCCCACCCACTGTGTGGGAGGGAGGACCAGGCCGAGCCCGATGGCCGCCCTCGTTGGAGGGACAGATCTCGCTGGCAGCGCCCAGAGCGGAGAGGTCGCCACGGGGAGGGCACCCGGGAGACCTGTGGGCTGTGAGGGAACAGTATCAGCGCGTGCGCCCTGAACTGCCCGAGGCTGGAGAAAAATCCACCAGGAGAGGTGAGAGGGAACCGTGCTGCGCCTCACCCGGGGCTGGGGACCTGGCCTGTTGTCCGGGGTCCCAGTGGAAAGCTTGTAGGTCAGGGGGTGTCAGGAGGGTCTTGCCTTAGTAGCAGGGAAGACTTCACTTTAGTCTAATCATAGCTCCAGGGCCACCTAACAAATCGAAAGCCCATTCTGGATAAAATCCTTCATCAAACTAGCAGAGGCTTCCTCAACTCCGTAAAGGCCACATGTATGTAACACACCCGTGGCTCACGTCATACCCGCCATGAGGGACTGAACGTTTACCCTCTGAGTCAGGAGCCAGGCAGTGAGGTCTGCACGTGCCGCTGCTATTCAGCGTCGTTCCGGAGGTTCTGGCCAGGGCAACTAGGCAAGAAAAAGAAATGAAAGACCCCAGGTTTGGAAAAGAAGAAGTAAGATTATCTCTATTTGTAGATGAATGTGGAAATATTATATTTGGAAAACCTATGGAATCTATAGAAACTATAGAAGCTAGTAAATGAAAAAACTATAAAAACTGGTCCAGCATGGTTGCCAGATAACAGATCAATATACAAAAATTATTTGCATTTCTATATATTAGCATGATGATACAAAAATTAAGCTAAAAAACAGTTGCATTTTCACTGGCATCAGGATGTATAGTGGGAACAGAATACTAAATACAGGGGCCCTGGGAGCAAGGGCAGCTTAGGAGAAATTTAGAGAAAGCACCCAGCAGCCGAGGCCTGAGCCCAGGGAGGCTGGAGACACGCGGCCTGGGCGTGTGAGGATTTGGTGCTCGCCGCAGGGGAGAGGGATGCGTATCAGTAAATGTGCATTTCTTGGTTGCAGTCCTGTCGCTGCAGTGTTTTGCTTCTCTGACTTGTTTAGTTTGACATTTGGTCTGTTCTCTCCAATCGGCTGCTTGTTTTCTCTTGTCCAGGCCTTGGGCTGCAGAGACGGGGAGCCCCGACCTGTGTGTGCGGCCCCGCGAGCTGGCCCGTGATGAGGCCAGTCCCCCACTCAGCAATGTCGGAATCAGCACTGAGTGCTGGGCCAAAGGGGTGGTGTGGCTGTTGCGTCCGCAGTGCGGAGGCTGAACCGAAGGGGTGCGTGCGCCCTGGTGCGGTCCATTCCTTTTGCCCCTATAGACAGAGCGGGGGGTGATCCAATTCGGGTCAGAATGTCTTATACACGTTCTCATAGGAGCTGATGTTCAAGATTGGTTTTTTTCCCCCAGTGAAGGTGATTATTTTCTTTTGGATTCCTTCCAAGTCCATTCCTTCCTTTGGAAGGATAGAACTGGAAACCTGTGGGGTCGGAGCCTCTTCAGTGCGGCCACAGCAAAGGGAGCCTGTGGCTTGTCCACCTGGCACATGTGTGTTAAGCCCAGGGCCCGGGCTGACGGTGGTGCAGTCTGTCCCCAGAGGCTGGGCTCCATAGCCAGCCCGGGCACCCTCCATGTGTAAAGGGGAGCAAGTCACCTCCTCTCCAGAATGCATTTCGGTCGCGCCTTCATGCTGTCTGTCCTCTTCCCTAAGGACATGTGGCATTTCCTCTCTGACGCTGTGGTGTTAGACCTCGTGTGGCAGCTTGGCTAGGCTGCAGTGCTCCATCATGCAAACGCCAATATGGGTGTTACTGAAAGGACAGAGACCGGCTGTGCATGCGGTTAATTTAACATCCACAATCAGTGGACGTCCAGTAAAGGAGGTCACCCTGGTAAACGCGGGTGGGCCTCATCCAGTCTGAGGGTTCCCAGGGAGGAAGGGATTCCGCCTCAGGACCGCGGTGTCGGGTCCAGCTTGAGTTCCCGCCTGTTGGCCCGCCGTGTGGAATTTGGGCTTGCTGCCCTCCACAAGCACGTGAGCCAATTCCTTGAATATTTTGGTTTCCCAGTGCATTTAAAAGTCACATTTATACTGTACCATAGTCTATAAATGTGCAATAGCACTGTGTCTTCAAAAAGCAATGTATATACCTTAATAAAAAATTTTTTGTTGCTAATAGTGGCTCACCATCACCTGAACTTTGAGCGAGTTGAGATCACTGATCCCAGGTCATCATGATACATATAATGATAATGAAAAGCTTGGAAATATTGTGAGAATCACTGAAATGTTACCCAGAGACGCAAAGTGACAAATGCTGTTGGAAGAACGGAGCCAAGAGACCTGCTGTGCACGGGGCCGCCGCACCTTCAATCTGTGAGAAACATTGTCCGCAGAGCCCTAAAAAGCAAAGCGTAGTAAGTGGGGCACATCTGTGGGTCTTCCTGCCACTGGTATTCCTGTGTGTCTGTCTGTCTGTCTGCCTCTCTGTGTATCTGTCTATCATCATTTATGTATGTATCATCTATCTATCTATCTATCTATCTATCTAATCTATCTAACCTATCCACCCACCCACCCATCCATTCATCCATCCATCCATCCATCCATCCATCCATCCATCCATCCATCATCTGTCCACCTGCCTACCTGTCTGTCCATCTTGGTTCTGTGTCCCTGGAGAGCCCTGCCTGATTCACTTCTCTGCATGACCGTGCGTGAGGGACCTGCCCACTCTCGCCCAGGTGCAGCAGCGATGCGGAGAAGCCTGTGGAGTAGGCAGTGAGCGACAGTGAGAGGTTGAGAGATGTGTCCTCATTCGGGATCGTACGCAGCAGATGCTGCGGTGCCTGAATCAGTGACAGCCTTGCAGATGGGAGGAAACAGCCGCCAGGAGAGGAGGTATTTCTCCTGACCTTGTGGCACCTGTGCTCGATCCTTGTTCTGGTCAAATAGATGTTTCACTCATATGTCCTTTTTGGTGGGCAAGACCTGCCCAGTGGTGGGGAACCCTCTCCTTGGTCGTTTATGTCCCCAGCTTCTCAGGCCACAGCACGTCCCTGCTGTTTACTCTCTCAGCTGCTTGTTACCAGGTGACACCTTCTCCAGGAGGTGGGAGGACATTCTCCTTGGCAGCAGGTGCCCTGATCATGGTGGGTGTCCTGACCCGTCAGGAGGACTGCCCCCTGTGGCCGTCTGTGTTGCAGCGCCAGGGCTGTCCGCACACCCAGGGGCTCGGGGCAGATGACGCTGATGTCTGCGCACTGTCCTCCAGAAACAGGCTGCTTCTGTGCAGCCCTGCCCGAACCTCGCAACCTCTGTGTCACTTTGCAGGCCTGCTCTGCCCCGGGATTTCCCCTGCTGGATCCGTGAAAGGGAGAGGAGAGAGAGGGAAGGGAGCGGAAAGAAGTCCAGCCAGCTCATCAGCGGGTGCATTTCCAGGTCGCCCTGTGTCGCTGATTCGGACTTTTAGCTCAGAGACTGAGCTTCCTTCACTCCGACAGAGTGCCAGCCTCACTGGGGATGGTGACGTGACACCATCAAGGGTGATTTTGCCAAATTCTCATCTATGTGTGTCCAGTGTAAATATCTGAAACCATTTGAATCAGGGCGTTTTCTCCTTGAGATAAAAGGATTTCTCGCCCCGGCCCTCTGCAAGGCTGTGAACCTCCTGTCGGTGAGGTGACGACTCACCACAGCCATGAACTGGAAAGCATCTGGCAGGAGTCAGGGAATTTCTCCAGCCTCCTCCTGGCCTCTTGAGATGAATCCAGAGAAAGTGAGATCCGTGGTGTCACAGAGCGTGGGAGCTTACCGGCGCCCCACCTGCTGGCTGCACAGGTGTCCGCTCCTGGGAATATTCTGTCCGGCAGTCATTTCCACAGTGCAGATGTCACTTGGCCCCTGCAAACCCAGTGGACGCAGGAGCCCAGGCACAACATTTCCATTCCACGGGAGGATGCAGTGCCCCAGGTACAATACGGTGAATTGGAAAGTCTTTGATTTCTTCTCTGAAACTGTCCATTTGCCTTTTTTAAAGTGATAAAATGGAAGTAGTCCCTATTATGTCAAGTTGCATTCTAAGCAGTAACTTACCTTAAGTAATATTCTTTTTCCATAAAATGGGAACAGTGTGAAACATAGCCCTATTTAAAGACTATTAATTTAGATAAGAAAAATTTACCCTAAAACAATCATATACTTTAATTACATTTCATAGATGAGGTGGAAGAACTTATACAAGATGGATTTTATTTATTCAAAAAGATGCACAGGAATGATATTTCTGGAGAATAACTACAACCTGCTTTCACATTTGTTTCCTCAACCTTTCACTACTGTGTAAACTTAAGACACTGTAAATTAGAATAGCACTCCCGTTCCTTTTGTCACTTTCTCAATAAGAAAAGGCCAATCCATAGCAGATTGGTAATGGGCCGGCCTTCAACACCTAATGCCAACGATTTTGCTGGAGAAGTTCTAAAATCAATGTAATATTTATTCTTACTGAATGGATATTAAAGGCAATTGAAATATGTTGTTTGCCTGACTTTGTTACTGAGTTTGAAATCAGTCTACACTGGTGTTTATTTTGAGTTAAATTTATGTTTTCTATGTCTCCTTAGGATTTCTAAAACCTAAATGTTAGGCTAATAAGAAATTTCTAGGTTCAAGGCATAATTATTGCCTTTATCTAAAATATACTAAATGTGGTATTTACTTAAATGAAAAAAAGAGAAGGCATGAAGCTTCATCATGAAAAGTCCTTATGCATTTTATCTTTTTAATAAAAACAAACAACTAGGTAGGCAGAAAAACCTCACATCTTCCTCTCATACAGAAACCTCTCTTCGTGTAATTTTTTTATTTCTGTGTCCATTTCAGAGTTTTCTACATGGAATGACTGCTCAATAAAACTGTGAACAAAGTTTTAGTTTTAGAATAATTTCTGATTTACAGAAAAAGTGTATGTGGGGAAGGCACAGAGAGTTACCATACAGCCACTCCAGATTTCCCTATTATTAGCACCACACATTCGGGTGATACGTTTGTCAAAATTAATGAATCAATATTGATACATTGTTATTAATTGGAGTCCATACTTTATTCCCATTTCATTAGTTTTTACCTAATGAACCTTTTCTGTTCCAGGGTCCCATCCAGGACCCCACATTACAGTTAGCCATCATGCTTCCTTAGACTCCTGTAGGCTGTAATATTTTCTCAGGATTTCCTTGTTTTTGGTGATGTTGATAGACTTGAGAATATTGGTCAGGTATTTCATAGGACATGCTCAAGTTGACTTTGGTGTTTTTCTCATGTTAAGACTGAGCTTTAGGAGGAAGGAAACTGAAGTTAACTATCATCTCACCACACCATGTCAAGGTACAGCCTATCAACACGACTTAGTTGTGATGATGAGGACCTTGATTTATACTGAAGTACTTTTTTGGGAGCTATTAGAAATGGTACTGTTTTTATTGTTTTGATTTCCAGTTGTTCTTTGCTGGTATATATGAAAGCAACTGAATTTGAAGTAGTTCTGTAGACCTTACTTCATCTTGTGACCTCGATCTTATGGTTTTTAATTCTAGGAGTTTTGGTTTGTTTTTGTATTCTTTCAGGTTTTCTAGCATAGACACATGTGCATGTCATCTGCAAAGACAGTTTCATTTCTTCCTTTCAAATCTATGCTTTTCATTTCTTTTTCTTGTCTTATTGCGCTGGCTAGGGCTCGCACTGTGATGTTGAATGGCACGGTCAGAGGGGACTTTCTTGCCTTGTTCCCAGTCTTAGGGGGAAAGCATACAGGTTCTCTCCATTAAGATTAGTCTTAACTATTGGTATTTTATAGATCTTCTCTATTAAATTGGGAAATTCCCTTCTGTTTCTAGTTTACAAGGAGTTTTTATCTTGCATATGTATTGGATTTTGTCAAACGCTCTTTTTGCATCACGATATGGTCATATGAGCTAACTACGCTCCCTAACATCAACCATCAGCTGACATGCAATAGTGATAGCTCTGAATTCACTTTTTTAAAAGGCTTGGCACCAAATGTAATTTAATTTGGATACTTGGAGTCTATTTAGGCTGGATCCACATTAAAGCTGTATTTCTGTTACCAGCTGGAGTTTTGCCAGCTGGAATTCTATTAGGCTACACTTTCAAAAGTATATCTCAGTGAAAATTTTGCCTCAGTTATATTCTCTGTGCTTATACCGTGAATACCATGCCATTAAATCATATTCAGTAATTTACACTGCTGGTGTTATATTCTCTCATGATACACAGCTTTATATCTACAGTGTTATACCAGTTATGTAACTTAACATCTATGATCTTATATTACTTAGAAAACTTGTCATCCATCTACATTATGTATGAAAACTCAACACAATTTTTGATTGATCAAATCATATTTATTTGCCACAAAAGCAAAGAAAGGAAAAATATGGCAGCTTTGTCAGTGTGCTAAGTATCTTCTTAACAGTCTTATTTGTCCTGGTTTCTTTTGTCCTCTGCAAACAACATCTGTTCACTACATTTTTGGTGTTTCTCACAAATAGAAATGAATAATTCAGCTTGACAGTACAGTAGTCAAATGACACCTTTAGGCACTATTTACATCCAGTAAATAATTCTTTTGGCAAGGTAGATGGTGGAGAAAAATCAGCAATTTTAAAGGTCCAGAAATGACTTACGGGTTTCCGATCAGACAATTCCTGAGGCTAAGTTTGACACATGGAAGGGAAAGAGGCTGATTAGTTCTGTAGACTTTACTTCAGCTTTCCAGGAATTTGAACAGTGATCTTATTGTTTCATGATATATAGACTTATTGGTGACAGCCACATGTTTGTTTGTTTTTCTTTTTAATTCCTGAGAACATTATAAAAGAAAATATATTGAAACCGTTCTCAGCAGAGAGTACTTTTAAAAATATTACTGGAGTTATAAACACATGGGAAGTTCTGTGAGGACCTTCCTATGGACAGTGGTGACGTCAGAACACATCAAACGTGGCTGAGCCCCCACCCCTCCACAGCCGTTGCTTTCATGTCTCTTTTTTGTTATAGAGTGTGGGATTCACAGTCGCCAATAAATATTGTTTACTGATTGGTGACTCATTTTATGCTTTCATTTAAAAGTAAAGCTTTGAGAACACATCTCTATAAATATCTATGCAATTTCTAAGTGCATATTTACAGTTTTAATAGGCCATTGAGAGACAGGTACCGCAGAAAACACATATAATACCTTCTAACTTTAAATTAAGTGAAATCCAAGTTTTCCGGTGCAACTTACGCTTCCTAAAAGAATAAAACCAGCTCCCAAAGGTGCCTAAGGAGGTAAATAAGTGCTGGGGGTCAGCAGGTTCTCATCTGTCCTCCCAAGTTTTCATATTTCATGACAAAGTAGAATAACAAATAAAGATATAGATTCAACACTTTTAAAAATCTTTTCAATTAAAAACATTAAACATTCACTGAAAACACAAAATATGATCTGTCATCACCGTCTCTTTGAGAAAACAAGCAACATTTAAAGATTCTTGTTTTTGTATTTCCTATTTGTCTCTAGGTCCACGAAACTTGGTCACAGACCGGCTGCAGCATCTCAGGATCACGCGTGTAGCCTGCTCATTTGTCCCAGAAGTGTCGGCAGAGTAAAAGTGTGCAAAGCGCTGAAGCCCTGGGTGACCTGTGCTCTGAAATGCGGCCCAGTGGGGATTCAGGGGCAGCCAAACGCACCGACTGTGTCAGGCAAGAGTGAGTGTCAGAAATGCCCACTAGGCTTCCCTAGAAACTACAGCTTCAATGTTCATTTTGGAAATACAGTTTCTATAGACAGATGTTTTTGAGAAATTTTTGTCAAGAAGCAAAGGGGAGAAACAGAGCACATGCTCTAGTGGAGATGAGAGCAGCCCATCAGGATGAGAGCCTCACGGGCCAAGGACTTACCTCGCCCACTGGTCTCCCCGCTCCCATCTGTCCTGCTCAGAACCACCTGACAGGTTATTCCGAGATTCCAGGGCCACGCCCAGCTCATGGTCTCCCGACCCCCTCGCTAATAGGACGATTCCCCAAGTCCCAGCCTAGCCCAGCTGCCCTTCTGCCGTCCTCCCTGCGCCCTTCATACCAGCCCGGTGGGGCTGTCCGGGGACCCACCGCTCCATGCTCCGTCCCCGCTCTCTCTCTGCCTTTGCGCGTGGGCATCCCTACCCCTCAGCTGTGGCACGCCGCCGCCTCCTCCTGAGGCCCTCCTTGACTCCCAGGCATCGTGCGGCGCCTGCCTGCCGTGCCCACGCAGCACCTAGGGCAGCGCTTGCTCGCTGGGCTGCGAGGCCCCGAGCCTGACCGCTTGGCACAGCCCCCACCCCCTGGCAGGTGCCAGCGAGGGGCCCAGGTGACGCCGTTCGGGGCCCTGGGTCATTGTCCCTCCGGGGACGGGATTCGCTTTGTGGGGAAAGGAGGGCTTTTCGTTTCCTCCGACAGGGATGGGCAGGAGGAGCCGTGACTTAGGGGGAGGGACTCACCCGGGTCAGCCTTCCTTCCGCGCTGGGAGCACCCCGAGCGCGTGGGCACCGCACGGACGCGACGGATGGAACGTGGGGGTGCTGAGCGCACCGTGGGGGGACCCTGGTGGCCGAGCGCCGCTCCCCGGGGCGAGTGGGTCAGAGCTGCGCCCAGTCCCAGCGCCCTCGGGACCGGCGGAACCAGCGGCGCCTTGGCGAGGACCGCGCGTCCGGGTGGGGCTGGGGCTCCAGGGGGGCGCGGGGCGGAGGTGGGCACGTGAGCTCGTGCCCCAGGGTCAGGGTGGCCGAGAACCAGCGCCTGGAGGGGGGTGTGTGGGCGGAACGGGGAGAGGCCCCAGTGGGCAGGACCCGGGTTCCCTGCGGGCGGGGACGGTCCGCAGGGGCGGAGGCGGGCGGGGGGACAGGAGGCTCCCTCCGGCACCGCGAGGGTCAGGGCCCCCCGGGACTCTGTGTGGGGGGACGCGTGGCCTTCACTGAGCTGGGCGGGCTCCAGGCTGTGCCACCCACGCCAGGTCCCCACCCGCGACATGCACGTGGGAGGTCCCCTGCTGTTACCCTGTCCTCACCTACACCCCGTCTCCGGGGCGAGCAGGGCTCCCGCAGCGATCTGGTCTCCTTAGGCGTCATTCATGTAAGCCGTGATTAAAGACTCGCCCCCACCTGGCTTACTTCACACGCAGGTACCTTAATTCTTGAGTTTCCGACATTTATTCGCCCCTGCTTGGCTGCAGTGGGACCCTGAGCCAAAGCCTGACCATGTGTGGGGTGAGGAGACGCTCCCGGCCCAGCCCGGCGGAGGCCGACTGCAGTCGCTGCCTGACACCAGTAAGAAGGCCGAAAACATTATCCAGCCAAACTTTTCAGTCTGGTTGGACTTTTTTTCTGAAAGGATTGCTGTATGAAATCAGTAGCATTATCAATAATCCCGAAAGGGGGAAACACTGGCTCTGAAATAAGCCAACTGGTATTCATTTCTACAAACTTAAAAATTGTCGAATTGTCCGGAGGCTCTGGGCTATCAGGGGGCATATGGAAACATCTGCAACTCAAAGCAGGGAGTTTGTCCGTCTGAGAGGTCTGTTAGCTTCTCCAGAAAAGTCAGTAGATGTTGAAATGGAGGCTATGCCTGTATCAGCCTTTTCCTGTTGCACAGACGCGTAGCAGTCATTCCCCCTACGATTCCTGCAGCTCAGTGAATTTAACAAGCACAGATTCACATTATTGTTCTTTGCTGTGGGAGAATTAGGAAGGTAGGGTCAGTTGTATAAACATAAACAAGGATTTCCTAAGCAAGTGGTCGAAGTGAGGAGGGGAGTTCATTTGCCTCATTAAAGATTTCTTTCCTGTCTCCTTCCTCCACCCCCTTCTTTCCCTGTTTTCTCTCTCTCTCTCTCTCCTCCTCTCATCTCTCTCATTTCCCCTTATGCCTCTGATAACTCATACAGATTCCACCTCATTTCCATTCCGAGGTTGGCAGAACAAATCCTGAGAGTCTCGAAGCAGCGACAGTGCCTTCTCTGCCTCCTTGCGGGCGTGCAGTGGACTGTGGGAGCGTCTAGCCTGGTGGTAAGTGCTCATTCCCATGCAGAAGCAGAGAAACGTCCCTTTATTTTCGATGTTACGCATTACTTCATCTCATGGTGTTCAGACTCCACATGCAAAGGCTTTAGCCTAGGCCACAGCCACGCTGCTCAGAGCTCCGGAGACATCACGGTATAGTGACTTTGGAGAAAAAGAAAAACAAGGCAGTTAGGAGGCTCAGAAGGGCAGCAGTTCCTAAAAAGATGGGAAAGAAGGAGCAAAACATCAGAATAATGAAAAGAAGCAGACAGGCCAAAGGGAGATATACACAGATGCTCACAAACTTTTCAATTGCTTCTTGAGAAAGTTACTAATATTTCCTGGGTGTAGAGTTTCCTTTCTTAAATTCACCATAATATTAGCCAACAACATGTTTTATGTGGCATTTGCATGATCAATATTGCATAAAAGCGAAATATATCAATGTGGTGAGTGGCCCCTTCCCCTTTGGGGTGCTGGGACAGGCATTTCTGCATGAAGACGTGGATTGGCTCTGGAGATGCCCACTCGATGGGGACTCTGCATGCTCCAGAATCCAAAATGCTCCTCCACTGTTCACCCGCTCAGGGTGAACCATGGGCCTCAGTGACAGCCGAGCAGAGGTGTGCTTACGTGTCTGCTGTCAGATGGACTGGCAGCGTAGCAAGAAGTCCGTACTGCGCCTCCAACTCCGAGAGACAGAAATCACAGTCTTACCGTAAAACAGTGAACACACACACACAAAACAGAAGTCTGTTTTATTTTTTCGATTTGAACTTTTTAGGAGAGGAAAACAGCCCAGTAAACAGAGATCTTAAATGAGCATTTGTTGCAACATTTAGACGTGCAAAAAATTCAAATCAAACAACTTTTAATAATACTTTACTGCCAGAGGAAAATAAAATTGGAGCTGCCACTATAAAATAAAAAAGCAATTAGCAACTTTCTGATTGCCATTTCTTTAAGAATCCACCTCAAGAAAACAAATGATGCCGAGCAGAGGCGAAGAAAATCTGATGAGAAAAATAACTGCCTATAGTTTTTGGAAGTCATGTTTGGGACTATTTGGGGCAGACGAGGGATAGTCAGTGGGTGAGGCATGAACGGTGTGCGGGCCGCCTGGAGAACACGGCGCACGCCTTGCTCAGTGACACTCCCTCCATGAGAAGATGAGGCCACAGAGCGAAAGCGCAGAGCCAAGCTTTGGGAAGCCTCATTGGGCGGGCCGCCGTGCCTGTTCTAGTAGAGAATCCAAGCTTCGACCTGCTCTTATGATCCTTAAATTTATTTATTCAAGACTTAATAAGAATCACAGAACAGGCTTTGGTAAATAGCATGATATAATGAAGGGCCCTTCACACCTTGACTTGTTTATTCCTCCCAACACACCCAAAATAGCCATGTGTTTCCTGCTGTTCTTCTGGAATATGCCCCCCCGCCCCCCACTAGCAAAGAGACCTGTGTAATATGACCTGGAGTTGTTGGCTGTTGAGATAGCCGCATGCTCAGTGTCCCAGTTCTGTGCTAGGCAGCAGCCAATGCTCAGAGGATGAATACCTAGGATTTCAGTCCATTGTATGTGGTTCTCCAGATCTTTCATCTTTCCTCTAAACTGCTCCTGAGACCCAGTTAAGTGCCCACATTTGGGACAAGCTGGAACTGATGGATCCATGAGCAGGGCCTTTGCTGTGCTTGTCTGAAGGAGACATGTCTGCTCTTCCTCCACACCTGCTGCCTTGGGGGGAACGGGCACAGACTTTCTGCAGGACACGCAGTGGCGTGCATGTGGAGCGTCCACCCAGCTATTGCCCTCCAGAAATGCATCCTTAGGAAATAATTACACAGATACATAAATGTTTGTTTACTAAGTAAAGAATTAGAAAAGCCCTATTATAAACATGCAGTGTTGTTTAAAGACAAGAATAAAAATTTAAAAAACCTAAGTAGCCAAAAATAGGGGATTTATATGAAGAAAACATGGTGTGCCATGACACAAGTACTTTTCAGCTACTAAAATTGAGACTGATGTATGTTTGTTAACACAGGAACATATGCCAGCATATTGTTGCATGAAACAGTTATTGAGTAGCGGGGATGGTGCATCCACTGCGTGTGTGCAGGTCGTCTGTCTGTCTGTCTACCCATTATTGTCAATCTCCCACACATTTCATGCTAATAGAAAAAATCCTGGAAGAATGTACCACCAAATGCTCAGCATGCTCACAGTGTGTCTCTGGTGGCACAAAAAGATTTTTAATAGTTCTATGCTTTCAGTTTTTACCCTGTTTATTTGTAAATACAGCAGCAAAGATGATTTCCCCAACATTTTCCCTCTTCCTCGGGTGTATGAGATGGTCTCTGTCACAGTCCTCTATTCCCACGTCTGTGTTCATCAGGGCATCCTTCACAGCGCAGGGCTCAGAACCTGCATGCCCAAAGCCTGGGCCCAGCCCGGCCGGCCTGGTGCCAGTCCAGACGCCTCTGCGCTTACTGCTGCCCACGACGGGGACCAGCCTGAAGGAAACGAGGCCCCAGAACTCAACTGTTTACGTATTTCTCAGCAAGAAACAATGACAGCGTGAAGGTATGGAACTGGCATGAGGGACACATTTTTAAAAACGCATGTGTTGCACAAAACTTATGGCTCTTGGTTTTAACTTGGCACGGCATGGTGGCATAATAAATATCATAACATATTGTGATGAGTGAGAATAGCCATATGCTCCTGTTTGGGAAACAACCAAGCACGCCAATCTCAGCCTTCGAGGACAGCCCAGCAGGGCATTTCCACCATGAAATGGGAGCCTGGGAGGCTGGGCCGCACCCCGGGTGGCAGCTTGGCCCTTACCTCTCTGTCCTGTGCCCCTGCCCCGGATCAGCTCTCTTCAAGCTTTGAAGGGAAGTCTGGAATCCCAAGGAGCCTGATGGGTAGGAAATCAGGCACATTTATTATGCAATGTCCTGAAACTGAGAGGGGACCATATTTACTGGAAAACATGACGCTCGTTTTCCAGCATGCACTCTGAAAGCACAGTCGGTGTTTTTCTCTGGCTGGTCCCCTGCTAGAAATAAGAAGCTTTTCTGCTAAGGACAGGAAAATGAAGAGCACGTTGGGAAGAGGACAGTTCACTGTCCAGGCTTCAAAAATGTCCCCCAAGTTGAACTGAGTTGCCACATCTCCCCCAGCCACTCCCCATCTCTCTTTCTTACTTATTTTTTAAGACTCGCCAGCAAATCTATTCTCCGCTGGGCTCTGCAGAAAGTCGAGGAAGACATTGCCTGTTGCTAGACCACGATCAGCTCACTAATAACAGAATCCGGCTTTCACGTCCCCAGCCTCACTTCACGTGCGTTTTATCTTCTTATAAAACATGTCTTTTTAGAGTAACAGTCGCACAAACGAATAATAGTGAACACGCGGCACAGTTCATCATACCCGGAAAGGCTTCCACACAAGCGAGCTTCTTTTTGTGGAGCGGGGCTCAGGTTAGAGCAGCACCTCCCTGCGGAGCATGGGGTGCAGGCGGTACCCACCCCTCAGGCCCTGGGTGAGGTGCCCGTGGATGCAGAGCGCTCTGCACCTGGGGACCCGCCAGCCAGTGGGGCGGTCAGGAGTGCAGTGTCCTCGGTGTTTCCAGGAATAAGCTCCTTGAATAATGCAAAACAGGGAACCACCTTGTCTTATAATTCCAGCGCCGTTACCCGTCTTAGCTGCCGCGTCCTGTTTCCTATGATAAGCCTTCATCGACCTGTGGAAAGCTCTGATTGGAACACTGGCATTTATATCAGAAACACATGAACCAGATCTAGCTAACCTTTGAGATTTTCTAACTGTCTAGTGTTAAAAGTCAATTTCTTTAATTTTTTTTAAAAAGATGAACAGTTAGTATTATTTCTGAGCTCAATGTCAAAATAAGAAAGGATAACAGTTTGGAGTCCAGGCAGCTTGGGGTTCCATTTGGAAGTAGCCAGAATCTGCACTTTCAGGCAAAAACCCCTCGAGTTTGTGTTTTGATGGTGAGTTTTACACTTTTTCAGAACTTCCCTGTTCTCTGAAAGCTGACCTCAGTCGCCCTTCGAATGTTGCAAGGTCAGGGGAACCCCGGGCAGCAGGTCCCACCACAGAAAGAACACTTCCGTTTTGTGTTACAGGACCATGGTTTGAACTGACCTCCGTGTAATTCCACTCTACACGACTTCACCGTTCTTGAGGTTTTTATTTACGTTTATGTGCCTTTGAAATGTAGGACAGTTAGTTGGTGCTTATTTCTCCCCCCCCCTCTCTCTTTTTCAGTCCCTGCCTCCCCCTCCATGAAGGACAGTCA